GTGCCCTCGAAGTGGCGTGTGGCATTGTCATGACACTGGTGCCTGGTCGCCCCAAAGACGTGGCCAACTTTCTCCTCCTCCTCCTTGTGCTGGCTGTGCTCTTTTTCCACCAGCTAGTGGGGGATCCACTCAAGCGTTACGCCCATGCCCTAGTCTTTGGGATCCTGCTTACCTGTCGTCTGCTGATTGCCCGCCAGCCTGAGGAGCAGCCTCCAGAAAAGAGGATCCTGTCAGTGAATGGGGATGAGCAACCACTCATCCATGAGGCAGCTCCTGAGAAGGGCAAAATGAAGGTATCTTAGTTCACTGCGTGTGAGAAATATGGACCCTCGAGGCAGCTCTCTCCAAAATCACCCAGAAATTTTGTTTTTTATTTACCTATTTTTTTGTCTGTCTAAATAAAGTTGCATTGGGGTCTGAGACACACATGGTATGTCTACACTGTAGTCTTGCTTTTGCTGCTGCCCTGTAATGTAGAAAAATACAAGCTAGCTTTCACCAGGACAGCTTGCAGCTGGAGTAGCGCTGGCCTCAGCAGGAGCTGCAAAATCAGCCTGAAAGCATGGGCAAAGACTTGGGCAGGTAGTCATGCTAACTCGGCACTGCTGCAGGGGGGAGATTAATCCCTATGCATCAGCCCTGAGCCCCACGGCAGTTGAAACCTAGCCTGGATGCACTTCTGCTACATGGCAGTCTCAGCAACAGCAGCTGGATAGAACATAACCAGAGTGTCCCTGTGCTGGCTTCTGCAACCCCATCCACAATCTGTTTCCTCTTCCATAGTCAAGGGGGGAAAGGACCCTACTGAGCATGAAAGTGCTGTTTGTTGTGTTTGAGAGAGGGATCCCTTAGCCTTTGCTGCTGCTGTGCCCAGTCCTTTCTTTGGACTGGTTATCCAGGGAAAACGTGGGACGTGCTATTCGCATCTTCCTGGATTTCCACACTTTGCAGAGGCTCTAAAACTGGGACAATGGCCTGATAACAGTAATTTTTTGCCTGCTTCACACGAGGCAATGACATCTCTTTACCCCTCTTGGCAGAGAGTAAGGATCCCTGGTGAGGGGATGGGGAGCAGAACTGCCCAAAGAACTCCAAAATACTTGTCTGCTGTTGGCAAATAGCATCATGCTCCCTATTTCCTTGCAAGAAAAAAATCCCTTTTTCCACAACTACTGCAACTTTATAGAATTGTCGGCTATTGCTGATAGATGAGGGTCTGAACGTGTCCAGGTACCTCCTCGTTCATCCCACATACAGCTTCGGTGAGCTGGGGGAAGTCCTGGCACCAGAGCCTGAATCCCTGTGTGTAGTATCTGAAATCTTAGAGAGTGTCGTAAGAAGCATGTGTTACCTCTGAATTTGTTTGTTTTTCTTGATGTTTGTCTGTTTTCAGTTTTTCCTTATTTTCTTAATTATTCATGAAAATAAACTTTTTGATATTTGGAGAAAAATTCCTTGACAGAAACAAATTTCTTTTTTGAGAGACGCATCTTAAAATATTTTTCCTGTGCTCAAACTCTGCACCTAAAATGGGCAGAATCATGTCAGGGGAATTTTCAGAGAGGGACAAGGTGATGGAGGATGGAAGCCATCTGAACGCTACTGGACTATATAGTAATAACTATAGGCATTTAAAAGAGACGTTTGAACATTTTCATGAATCAGTCTCAGATAAATTTCTGCTTCAGTACAATGTGGCAGCGACAAAAGATATTAAAACTCCAGTAAAGTGTCAGTATTGCATCTATAAAAATTGGTGATGGATGTTCATATGCAGTATATCCAGTTTTCTTATGTTAAAAGTTTGCTGCTGAAACAGATGTAGTCCCAAATACATATATGCTGAAAAATCCTCCTCCTAGATCCCCACTAATTCTCTTATCAGATGTGCACCCTGAACAAAGGAAACTACCAACAGGCCACCTCTGTTAGACAATGTCTTGTACAGACTACCTCAAGGTCATCCCAAATGTATATAGAATTTGCTTTACTTCCCAAAAGATTTCATCTACCATGCCCTGACTGGAGTTATTAATCACTTCTTAATTCAAAACCAAATAAAAATACCAGCGACTCAAAACCACGCCATGATGCGTACTTCTACACAAAGCAGTCACAACTGAATTGCTGCAACCTTTTGGTCAGCTGCCCCTCACATGTCCATCTAACTCAGTACAAGTGTTTGTGTTTGTCTTTTGTGATGTTCTTTACTGAAACCTGTACAGATGCCATAACAATAAATGTAAGATATTCCGCATAGCAAAGCTTATCCCTGCAAAAACTTCAGACTCTAAGTCAATTCTGAAAAATGTCCCCCTCTTTTCACATTTGTAGCAGTATGAATTACTGATCCGCAGTAGTGGCTACACGTTCTTTATTACGGAGGAAGATGAGACTCTCGTTGGAAGCCAGTAACAAAAACTCTGTATTTCTCTGTATTGGGTTGACCTCCATCATTGCCCCCCAGCATTAGCAAACTATTTTTGGAAACTACCAGTCATCTTTTGCTTGCTAGAGGTGATAAGGCGCCAAGAAACGGTTTTGTCCTTTTGTAAAACCACGATGCTAATTTACTCTTGCTATCTCCCCCCCCTTCCCCCCGCGCTTTTCTTTCTGATCTCCAAGCCCATAATTTCATTCCCGTCAGTCTCATCCAACTGCTGCCATGGCAGGCACCTTCTAGCGCCAGTGTTCTCCCGGCTGCAGCTCGCTGCGGAGACAGGCGTTTGTCAGAGGAGCGGTGCCTGCAGCCCGGCCGGCCTGTCCGGCGTGCCGGGCAGAGCTGCGGCCTACCTGAGGGCTCA